TTTCAGAATCCTTTATCAGAGGTTTTTATTTTTTCCTGCAGTAACAGACATCATGTTATTTTCATGGCTTCTCCGTTTATTTCTTGAGTAACCTATTTCCCAAAATATATAACATTTAGCCACACTTTCCATAACTACTTTTAAATCAAACTGCTGAGATGTAAGATCTATTTGTGTTGTTTTAAATGATTCAATGCATATTTTAATGTCAAAAAGTTTGAAAAATTACAATTGTGTGTATCATCTAATCAAAGAGAATCTTTTCCAGTGGTTTCATTTCATAATGGAGTCATTTATTTTCTGTACATTTACTGTAAATATTTCACTCCAAGTTGAAGAAATTTCTTTATAGCATTTCTTAATCTTTGGTAAAGAAATTATCTCAGGACTAAAGGAGTTTATCACATTATTAGATGGGAGGAAGACCTCAAAATATTATTTTTTAAGCAAATTGAATATTTTAAAAAATTTTTCATTTCTACCCTAACAACAATTTTCAGAAATTTCTGTTTTTCATTTATGATTAAAATGACAGCAACAAGAAAATGTATTCTTTCACAGTGGGCTACTACTAAGGACAGATGCCACACAGTTTTATAGAAAATGACTTGTCTTTCCAGAATCCTTCCTAGAGATTAATACACCATAAGTAAGATTAACATAGATCTTGATCTACTGATATCACTTAGTTTTTTTTTTTTTAACAACTTTATTGGAGTATAATTGCTTTACGGTGTTAGTTTCTGCTGTATAACAAAGTGAATCAGCTATATGCGTATACATATATCCCCATATCTCCTCCCTCTTGCGTCTCCCTCCCACCCTCCCTATCCCACCCCTCTAGGTGGACACAAAGCACGGAGCTGATCTCCCTGTGCTATGCAGCTGCTTCCCACTAGCTATCTGTTTTACATTTGGGAGTGTATATATGTCCATGCCACTCTCTCACTGCGTCCCAGCTTACCCTTCCCCATCCCCATGTCCTCAAGTCCATTCTCTACGTCTGCATCTTCATTCCTGTCCTGCCCCTAGGTTCTTCAGAACCATTTTTTTTTTTTTTTTTTTTAGATTCCATATATATGTGTTAGCATATGGTATTAGTTTTTCTCTTTCTGACTTACTTCACTCTGTATGAGACACTCTAGGTCCATCCACCCCACTACAAATAACTCAATTTCATTTCTTTTTATGGCTGAGTAATATTCCATTGTATGTATGTGCCACATCTTCTTTATCCATTCATCTGTTGATGAACACTTAGGTTGCTTCCATGTCCTGGCTATTGTAAATAGAGATGCAATGAACATTGTGGTACATGACTCTTTTTGAATTATGGTTTTCTCAGGGTATTTGTCCAGTAGTGGGATTGCTGGGTCGTATGGTAGTTCTATTTTTAGTTTTTTAAGGAACCTCCGTACTGTTCTCCATAGTGGCTGTATCAATTTACATTTCCACCAACAGTGCAAGAGGGTTCCCTTTTCTCCACACCCTCTCCAGCATTTATTGTTTGTAGGTTTTTTGATGATGGCCATTCTGACCAGTGTGAGGTGATACCTCATTGTAGTTTTGATTTGCATTTCTCTAATGATTAGTGATGGTGAGCATCCTTTCATGTGATATCAGTCAGTTTTGATGGGACAATTCAAGGGGATGAAAGTGTTAGATTGTATCAGGTATAAGGAAGGAAATATGTTTCAGATGATATTTAATTACTGAATTCCAGCCCTTCCTTTGCCAGCTCTCATGTGCAGAATTTATGGTTCTGTATCCATATTCAAACTCTTTTTGCCTTAACAATCAAGCATTTAAAGTTAAATGTCCTATATGGTATGTTCTCAAATGAAGTGACTATATTTTTAATATTTTTATATTCAGGGAGTTGATCCACAAAAGTGTGAGTTTATTTAGGAAACATTTAGTTTTAAATTTAAAGAACTCTCAGCTTTGCATATATCTCATGAAATCTAGTTATCAGGGAGCAGAGGGGGAAAGCTCTGGTTAACCACTGGCCAAATCAGATAGCAGGAAGAAAATGCAAAAAATTTCAGAGATCGTGGATGGAGTGGTTGAGGAAGAGACGATGCAAAAAAAGGGGGATTTTGCAAAGTTGGAATAAATTCACTCAAGGTCTTCAGGTTTTAACATAGCTTCCAAGACAGCAGCAATGTGGCATAGTTATTTTATTTTTAACATTTTTTTCAGGTTTAAAAAAGGAGGGTTTAGTTAACTATATACCAGAATGAAGCCAGACAGGGCAGGGGGCAAGGAGTCACCGGAAAGCACAAGTCCCCTGCGGCCCTCCCCTTTCCCAACCTGCTAAATAGCTAAATAGCTGGAACCAGGTCCCAGTGACAGCCGGTCCCTCCAGGCCCCTGGACACCCAGCTCCCTGGGTCCTCAGACTGCAGTCCACCTGCTGCAGACAGGCACTGGCCAGGGCTGGGACAATCAAGGGGACATTCGGACAGACACATTTTTGGGGGTTGTTTTATGTCAAGCTATTTAATTGGGAATGGGAGATACAGATAACAAGTTTCCCTCTTTCTTGTTAATTTTCTTAAACAGAAGATCTTATCTTGTAATAGAATGCAGTAGGGAAGCTTATTCAGTCTACAGACATTCACTGATCACCAGATTTACAGAAACCATCTTTTACTATGAAACAGAGAAACAAGAAAAAATATTGGAAACAAGGGCAGTCGCCCTGGGCCATCATTTCTGACCTGGAGCTAAGAATTATTTTGGTTTTTCTTTGTGTGTCAATATATGGTATTTAGATCTCATTTAAATATGTTATTTAAATATCGTATTTGGTATATTTCTACTATACTCCCCACTTATTATATTAATAGTGAAATATCGACGTATGTTCATCATCCAAATAACGTGACTACATTAGGTCGTAAGAGCGTCTACATTTTCAGGTCTCCAGCTTCTTATTCCATCAGGGTAGTCCCGCGTCTGCAATCCTGTTACTCTCCAATCACCCTGTTTCTGAAGATGTTTGAGCTGCCCCTACTTACTCAAAAAATTCTGGTCCTGGCAAGAGCTAAAGAATAGAACGTTTCAGCAAACCATTCCAGCCTCAGGACGAGCTCCCTCTGTGTGCTGACCCATGCGCTGCACTCCAATATGTTGCTTCTTTTCTTCTCTGAAAAAATTTCCCTCTAAGATTTCTTTGTGTCCCTAGAATCTCATAAATTCCCATCCTCCCAAATAGCTAGGTCTGTGAGAAAATGGAAAACTATGCGTGTGTTATTCTTAATTTATTAGTTGCCACACCCTTATGGTCAGGCCTAGACCACCTATATGGAGAATTAGGGCATTTCTGGTGTTGGTTATCGGGGGTGACTTGGCTTGCTGGTTGGAAGCTGGAATGTAAGGGCTGCTCTTATGTGTCCAGGAGAGAAGCCATGAGCTCCCAGCAGAGGGACAGGAATGTCTGGGACGAGTCCTACTTAGCAGGTGTTGTGATGGTACCAGACCTGGGGAAGAATTTGGGCACGTGGACAAGAGGAACCCAGGGCGGTCTCTCTTTTTTCGGGTGACTATTCCAGTCTTGTGCGATTTACAATAACTTTGGCATTTACTTTGTATAAATACATCCCATTTCACATTAAACATAATCCTAAATATTGTTCCCTTTGCAAATGAGATCTGATTTCCATTTACAAACGCTTTATCGGTAACTTCGATTTATATAAATTATTCATATTTAATTATTTTCAGTGAGTTACAGAATTCTAAATATTTCTAAGTGACTCTGGATTCTACCTAGTTTAACATAGTGCAGATGGGGGAACAGGATGGTCTGTGAAACTTCCTGAGCTCACAAAGGTAGTAGGTGTAGAGATGGGTGACAGGAGGCCCTGGGCGGAGTGCTGGACCACTCCAGGATGGAGTCAGAGAAGGAGATGGACAAGGGGTGGCCAGTGAGGTAGGAACCAAGGGAGTGGATGTCCTGGAAGACAGCGGAGGCAGTGCCCTAGGGAAGCAGAGGAATCGGCTGTAGATATCACTGGGAGGTCAAGGAAAATGAACACGGAGGGTTGAACGCTGGATTTAGAAATGCACATATCACTGGTGACTTCTAGGAAAGCCATTTTGGTGGAGCAGTGATGGCAAAAATGTACTGGCGGGGTTTGAATAGTGGGGAGGACAGGAATTTGAGAGAAGAAAAGACAACTCTTTTGAGGTTTTTGTTATTAAAAAAAATAAAAAGCAGAATATAGGAGAATAGCCCAGGGGGAAAGCAAGACTTCATCTTGGCTAGATTTGTGTTATTTTATTTTATTTTCTAATATCTTAAGATATTTTTAAGTTAAGAAATTAAAACTGTAAGAAATAACACATTTGTTAACAAGTGTTGGTGGGGTGTGGAGAAAAGGGAGCCCTCCCACACTGTGGGTGGGAATGTAAATTGGTGCAGCTACCATGGAAAGCAGTATGGAGATTTCTCAAAAAACTAAAAATAGAACTACCATGTGACCCTGAAATTGCACTCCTGGGTATATACCTGAAAAAAACAAAAACACTAATTCGGAAAGATACCTGCATCCCAGTGTTCATAGTAGCTTTGTTTACAATTGCCAAGATATGGAAATATGGAAGCAACTTAAGTGTCCATCAAGAGATGAATGGATAAAGAAATATATATATAATATTTGTTGACAAGGGCCCAAATATATATTCCTTTTGGAAATATTTTTGAAATACTCAAATATATTGTAGACCCCAAATTTGTAAGTTAATGCTGTAATTATACTTCTTGTTGTTTTTAACGTGCTCATCTTCAGGTGCGTAATCAGACCATATGAAGTCAACAGCATCAAGTGAAGCTCTTTACTTTGGCTTCTCGGGACGACTGTAGTGCGGCATCTAGATACACTAACTGTGCTGACCGTTCTTGAGTCAACATTTCACTGGTCTGAAATGTGTCCTGGAACCATGAATCTGCATGCCGAATCATCTTGTGAATTGTTTCCTTTTTCCCCACAATAGCTCTGTGTCAACATGACCAATGAGAAGATGCACCACTATATCAATGAAGTGCTTTTTCTACAGGAGCAAACAGAATGTGTACAAGAGGGAGTTACCATGGAAACGGCTTATTCTCTTGGTAACCAGACTGGAGTTTTGGATTTTTTTTTCCAGGTATTCACATTATATAATTAGATACTTTACAGGATGCATGCATTTAAATATACTGGAGAGAAAGAACTTTCTTTCACGGGGCCTTATTTTGAGGATATCTTTATGGGAGGCTCAGCAATTTCTAATTTACTTATAATCTTTCAGTGTTGATTGAGGAGCACACGACCTTTCTCTGAAAGGGCATTTGAAGGATTACCAATTGATTAAAAAGACAACAAGTATCAGATCATTTTGTTGTAAAAAATATTCAGCTGCAGTTATGTCGCTAAAACTCTCCTCTTGGCATAGTTATAAATACCCATTGTCCAAATATAATATTTTATAAAGTAACTCTAAGACTAGCAAGAGCATAAAACAAATTCAGCAGAATCTTGTTTGTCTCCAAATTTCTAAGTCTGAATATGGAAAACCTCGGCAGAAAAAATATATATATATACGTACATATCATCTTAGTATTTCTGCAGGTGTTTTTGCTTATCTTTATTGTTTCTACCTTACAAAGCAAGAATCTTTGCCTCAATATCGCCATCACAAAAACAAAAATCTATGGCACAAACATCAGTCTCTATCTACTAATATAAGGCTTTATATAGATTCACCAGTAATATTTCTAAAACACTTGAACATTGTTTAAAACTGATACCATTTAGCTATTGAGGAGAATAGTATATAATTTTCTATCCTTTATTTTTATAAATGTATATTTACAAATTACTTTATTCATTTTCCAAATATGTGCAGTGTTCTTGTTTCTGGTACCAACTTGTCAACATTCCTTGTTTTAAGTACAAAAGAAGTTCTCTTCCTCCAGAAAGCCCTCCGTCATCATGACACAGATAGTATACAGTTTACCTCCTTAAGGTTATAAGATGGGTTGACAGTAATATATACTTACCTGTATATGGGAAGCCTTGGGTACCCACTACCCCACTACTCGCTTGCTGCTATGTCCTTGACTGCTAAACCGCGGACAGCAGAATGAAGTTATTTCTGTCTCTTTGGTTAACATCCTTGGGGTCTCATCGTTGGAATGGTTATTTCAATAGTGGGCCCTCATCAGTATGAACTGGAAATGTCAGTGGATATTTCTGCTGCCACTCCTCTTTGATACCCCCCAAAATGAAATGAAAAGACATGCCAAGTATAGGGTGAAACTTGCATTTTTGCCTATAAATAGGTAGGTCTGTATACCAGAAAGAAAACATACAACTTTTCTGTAGTTGGAAATGTTCTTAAGGTGAGAATATACATTTTAACAACGCCAGTGTTTTAATGACTTTAAACTACACTTATTTATTTTCAGTTCCTCTAATCAATAAATACTACTGAGAACCAACACGACATCAGAGGTTTGCTAGGTGGTGCGGATACAGCAATGAACAAAAATAGACATGTATCGATAATAAAGACGAATTTATTTTCTCAGTGCTTGTATGAACGTGATGAGGATGTAAACGGTATGCATGAGCAGTAACAAAGATAGCAAATTGAGTAACAGAAGGAAAAAACTCTCTCTTCTTAACTTCCAGAAGCCTTCTGGATTTCTCTCTTTACTGGATGAAGAAAGTCAAATGATTTGGTCAATGGAACCAAGTCTTCCCAAAAAGCTACACAGTCTTCTAGAATCCTCAAACACAAATGCAGTTTACTCCCCCATGAAGGATGGGAACGGGAACCTTGCCCTCAAAGACCAAGGCACAGCTTTCACCGTTATGCACTACGCAGGACGGGTGAGTTCGGAGAACTGAGCAATTTATGGTACGCGCTAATGGGCCAAAGGTCTTAAGAACAAGCCTTAAAGGTTTTGATGTTTTCGAGTTTTGATTGTTGAAACTGGGTGAACAGCCCACGGAATGTTTCTTTCCTAAGCCCGATAAGGACTTAGCCTTTCAGAATGTGGGTGAAGACGCCCGTGGTATGATTCTTCTCGTAACGTTTCCATATTTATAGGTTAATACGAGCAAGAGAGACCTGGATTTAATACAAGAGCTCTTCTGTGAAATTTAGGATATTTTCAAAATCGAAACAAACGTTGGACATCTGAGTTTACTTACCCTCAATATAGTTGTCGGTATTAAATTACGTTTCCTAAACCTAAGGAAGAAAGCAACTCTCCGATCCCTCTCTGTTGCCTAACCTGCTTTGTAAAACATGCTTCCTTCTCCTAATCCTTCAAGGACCGACTCTTATCTGTCTAAAACGTGTCACAGTCCTGAGGCCAGCCTCCTATTGGGCTTCTCCGAGCTGGTCCCTGTCACTTCTTCCAAGGCTTACCTGCCACAGCTCTCCTCTGCAAAACCCCTGTTCAGGTCCTTTTTTTCCCATCCACTCCCTGTTTCCCTGCGGATCCCGCCCCCTACGCGTGACGCCTCTTCACACTCGAGCTGGAAACATCCTCCCTGTCTTCTTCACAAGGTCAGATTTTATCCATCTTTTAATGCTCACATCCGCATCCCACCTAATCTCCGATCCAGCTTCCATCTCTAGTTAATTCTTCCACTTTTGAATCTGTAGCCTCCAGACTTTCCTCCCTGTTTGGGATGTAACACAAATAACATTATTAGGGGGTGAAACCCCTAGTCACTCTCTCACTCTCAGTGTATTTCAGTTCACTTCAGCCGGTGTTTACTGAGACTCTGCTATATGCCAAACCCAGGGCACTAGAGGATCAAAGATGAATAAACCATATTTCTTGCCCTCAAACGTGTCACAGTCAAGTAAGGAAAAGGAAAGTTAACAAATACGTCCGCTATAATTTGCTCATAGTAATATTAGTCATGTTAACAAAATTCTCTGTTACCACAAAGAAGAAAGAATTTATTGGGCTCCAAAAAAAGAGTGTAGAAATGTTTTCAAGAGGAGGTAAAATGTGACCTTGGCCTTTAAGGGGGATGCTGAGCTGCCTGAGACTGCGAGGCAGGAACATCCCAGTAAAGACAAGGGCTTTCGAAAATGAATGAACCGTGCGTCTGTCTGGATTTGGTTGCAAAGGACAGAATCCTGTGTAGCTGTTCAAGCAGAAAATAGCTTCAGTGCGGGAAAATCACTGTCGGGGGGACTCTAAGTTGAACTTTCAAAAATGACCTTAAAACCACCCCACAGGACAGGGCTCCCTCTGTAGTTAGGGCCACGTCTTTGATCAGGAAGCCTGCAGCCTGATTGAGAAACTGCTGCTACAGGTACTGACTCCCAGTAACTGCTGCCACCTAAACCAGTAAGAGGCCCATTCCCCGGCACTCAACAAGGAAGAGTCAGTGGCTGAGCCCGGGGCCTTCAGTGCTGGAGAAAACCAACATCTCCTGGACGTGCTCACCAGGTAAAACACAGACACAGCAGAAATGCAGCCTCCACCACTTCCACTTTCTAAATCTCGGGCAGCAGTTCAGACAGGTGGAAGCTGCAGAACGAGCGAACCCTAGCTGCAAGGGAGTCTGGGAGAAGTAATATTCGCACTTTCCAACATCTGAAGGACAGGAAGTGACCAGGATAAACCTAACACTCCGCCATTTCCAGCCACATCGTAGTTGGGAAATGGTACCAGACGTTTGGTCAAGTGTATGGAGGTTGGTAGGAGAAAAGTCTAGGAAGGTTGTTTGTGGTGAAATCATGAATAAATATGCATGTACGCCTCAGGACTTTGTCCTCTTGACAGTGTTAACTTATCGGATGTTTTTAGACAGGGTGGGGGATGAAGTGAGAAAACCAGAGGACATGATGTAGGTAGGTTGGGAAGAAAGGAAGGGGGATAATGGAAACACTCCAACAAGGACTGCGTTTGAGCCAGAGCGGCAGGACAGAGTGGTGGCATTCCCAGGGAAGAGTGAGTGACTGAATGTGTGGAACCAGGGAGGGGACACAGCTGGAGATGACCCCGAGGGCCGCACCCTGTTGACTGATGGAGGTTATTTTAGGCCAATCAAGAAGAGAAATCCCGGAGAAGGAGGCTGTTTGGAAGGAAAGATATTCCACTTTAGATGTTTGGAATCTGAGGTTTTTAATGGAAATTCCCATGAGATGCTGAAAATACTTGACACTGGGAGGCTGGCTGTTTCTAGAAACCTAGTCATAGTTTGGGAAATGTGTATAATTGCACGTGGAGAAGCGGGAGAAAGTTGTTAGTAGGAGAGAAAAGTATCACAGAAACGAAGAGAAAAGAGACGTCCGGGTCAACAGGAAGTGAGCCTTGACAGGACACTTAGGCCAAGGAACACCTTTGTGAGAAGTTCTGGTGGGACGGTGATGTGATGGCTTAGTGGATGTGGGGAGGAAGTCAGTGGATGATTTTATATAATAAGTAGATACTCTCAGAAATTATCAACTATCCTTTAGAGTTGAGAGATTTAGCCTTTACATTTTTTTTTATGACAGTAGCAGTCTTTTAGTCCTATGTGCAGATTTTTTAATCTATATTTTCTTTATATTAAGAATTTCCTAAAGAATATAGAAACAAAGATACTTGCATAATAAAATAACATGTTATTTTACTTTTCAATTCAAATGTTAGAATACTTTTCAATTCAAAAGCTTTTGTGTCAGAATTCTTTTTATTGAGGTACAGTTAATTTACAATGTTGTGTTAGTTTCAAGTGTACAGCAAAGTGATTCAGTTACACATAAATATATATATATATTTTTTCAGAATTATAGGTTATTCTAAGATACTGAGTGTAGTTATTCTAAGATATTGAGTATAGTTCCTGGTGCTGTACAGTAGGTCCTTGTTGTTTATTTTATATATAGTAGTGTGAATCTGCTAATCCCAATCTCCTAATTTATCCCCTGCCCCTTTCCTCTTTGGTAACCATAAGTTTGTTTTCTATGTCCATGAGTCTATTTCTGTTTTGTAAATAAGTTCATTTGTATCATTTTTATAGATTCCACATATGTGATGTCATATGATATTTGTCTTTCTCTGTCTGGCTTACTTCACTTAGTCTGATATTCTCTAGGTCCATCCATGTTGCTGCAAATGGCATTATTTCATTCTTTCTTATTGCTGAGTGATATTCCATTGTGTATATGTACCATATCTTCTTTAGCCATTCATCTCCTGATGGACATTTTATTATGCAAGTATCTCTGTTTCTATATTCTTTGATAATCCCCAGTGCCTGGGAGAGTATCTGGCACATAAAATGCACCAATAAATGTTTGATGAATAAATGAATTATTTGACACTTAAAAAATAATTTATTGAATTCATAGGATTTAGTTGAAAAATTACAATAAGTTATAACTAATGATTTTGGAAAATTATTTTTCTGTAAGTTTCATGGAAGCTATCTTCAGTCGGTATATACCTGACCCGCTTTGTAAGTCTGTTCGTCTTGTATCTTGAAGATATACTAGATGTTCAGTAAGTGAAAATTGCATTAAACTGAATGGTACCAAGCTTTGGAATAAAATTTTGCTTGCTAATTATTGTGTGTTTGCATTTAAAAAGTATTCTACAAGCACCTAGTAAAATGTCAGTGGTTTTAAGAAAATCTGGGGAAAAACAATGGAGAGTTTGAGTGAATGGAATCATTTCACTGAGTTCTGATAGCAATAAAGCAAAGCAGAGAAAGCCCGTTGATTAGTTGCCACATAGCTAAAGCCCTGTGGAATCACGAAATTTCCTGTAAAAGCACCTTTATATTTTAAAGCAGGATTTTCCATAATTGGAGTCAATTTTGTGGTTTTATAAAAGTCTTTCATTTCACTGAGATGTACTAAAGAGTCTTAGCCCAGGGACTCCCTGAGGACTCATTCACATGTTAAAGTATAGATTCTATGTAATTTGTGGCAATATGTCAAGCCATATGCCATTCTAATCATCAGATGTAACTTTGTATACTTAAATTTTGAGCTATTGCATTTTCAAGGAAAGCAGCACTTTCTGCATTTTACAAATCAGGAGACGTAGCAAAGAGCTAATTGGCTTAAAATCAGCAGGCAGGGTCTATTTTGGGCAGTAGGATGACCAATCCTGAATAGCTCTTTGATGATAAAGTTGATCCCAGAGGAGACCTCAATGACTTTGGGGTTCGTGGGTTTGTTCGTAGTCTCCTCTTGTCCAGATGGATGTGCTAGAGAGTTCTTATCATCACTTGCCCCTCCATGCCTGGTTTACCTAGTTTTGTTAGTAAAAACATGCCATATCTCATAGGAAGGGCAGTCATTACTGCTGGTGATGATATTGACATCCAGCCTCCTGCCCCAGAGACCCACACATCTGACTGTTCTGCTCTGACTGCAAGACCCTGCCATGCTTCTGAATCTCATTTGGAGCAGAGGCTCAGAAGTCCTTTTAGAAATGTTTAAGCAACATTATTTAAATTATAGCTGACGATCTTCCCTAAACACATTTGAATTTTTCATTACTCATAGGAGCGTAGTGTATTTTCCAATCTCCATTACAGAAATATTTTAAAGTAAATGGGATGAGGCTGTGCATGAAATATTAACAGAGTCTCACTAATGAGCATGAATTTGAATTAAAGAAGCTGTGAGTTGTGTGTTTTTTTATCGTTGTTATTTGTTTTAGAAAATTTTAAACCGTATATGGGGTTACCTGTTTTAGGAATTGCTCTTAAACTTCTTTTAGTGATTTACATGATGGATAAGCATTAAATCCAGAAGTGTGTCTAATTTTATTGGCTTTTAAAATTAAGAATCTTGAAGGAAAGAAGAATTAGGATTTGGCAAAAGACGTTGGCTCTTAGGAAAGTTGAATTTCCATGAAGGTGAT